AATATCTAGGCTCTATAATAAACAACAATGGAGACTTGTTGACAGAAATTGAAAGAAGGATGGCCATAGAAATGCAAAGATTGAACAGCCTTTAAAGTCTATGGTTAAACACCAGCAAGGAAATAAAAATTAGAATTTTGAGAGCATGCATCTTTCCTGGGGCTACATACGGATGTGAGTCGTAGAGTATCTCCGACTCCTTAAGAAAGAGAGTAGAGGCTTTTGAGCTGAAATGCTATAGAAAGATTCTCACACTATCGTGGACAAAGAAGAGGAGAAATACTGACATCTTGAAAGATCTGAACATCAAGGAAGATTGGCTAATAAACAGCATACTATCTCGGAAGCTGAAATATTTTGGTCTTATCAAGCGCCACGGCGGATTGGAAAAATTTATAACAGAAGGCATGGAACCAGGAAGGAGGCGCAGGGGCCGACCGACACGAAGATGGGCACAGGATATAAGTGACTCCTTGAGTTTGAAAGTACATGAGGCGTGAGAACAGGCGAGAGATCGAGTTTGTTTCAGGCAGACTGTGATGAGAGCGACGGTCTGCAAAGGACCTGCTACATGATGATGATGACTTCATTATATATTTATGTAACTCTGTAGACTTGCAGCTGACGAGACACAGCAAAATATGCCAGGCAATAAACTGTCCTTTAAGGGTGATTTCGGACACATTGTATTATTATTATTATAATTATTATTATAGTTAGTCAACGCAAGTATTTGTACTCCTTTATTTTCTGTAATAAAAAAAAAAAAAACCACAATCTATGCAACGTGCAGAGCCTTGCCATGCCATGATACAGAGATACAGCCGCATGAGGTAGCACTGTAAGCGGGGGGGGGGGAGAAGGGGGGGGGGGGCGGCATAAGCAACGAAATCAAAATACAATCTCAACTTTCTACCTGACAGCGCGAAGCAGCAATAGAAGCAGTATTAACAGAAGCATTATTAGCACCAACAATAGAAGCAGTCGCAATAGAAGCAGTATTAGCAGAAGCATTATTAGCACCAACAATAGAAGCAGCAGCAATAGTAGCAGTATTAACAGAAGCATTATTAGCACCAACAATAGAAGCAGTCGCAATAGAAGCAGTATTAGCAGAAGCATTATTAGCACCAACAATAGAAGCAGCAGCAATAGTAGCAGTATTAACAGAAGCATTATTAGCAGTATTAGCAGAAGCATTATTAGCACCAACAATAGAAGCAGTCGCAATAGAAGCAGTATTAGCAGCAGCAATAGAAGCAGTATTAACACCAACAATAGAAACAGTATTACCAGCAGCAATAGAAGCAGCATTAGCACCAACAATAGAAGCAGTATTAACAGCAGCAATAGAAGCAATATTAGCACCAACAATAGAAGCAGCAGCAATAGAAGCAGTATTAGCATTAACAATAGAAGCAGCATCAGCTGAAGCAGTATTAGCACCAACAATAGAAGCAGCATTAGCAGCAGCAATAGAACCAGTATTAGCAGCAGCAAAAGAACCATCATTAGCAGCAGCAATAGAACCAGTATTAGCAGCAGCAATAGAAGCATTATTAACAGCAGCAAAATAACCAGAATTAGCAGAAGCATTATTAGCACCAACAACAGAAGCAGTATTAGCATCAACAATAGAAGCAGTATTAACAGCAGCAATAGAAGCAGTATTAGCACCAACAGTAGAAGCAGCATTAGCACCAACAATAGAAGCAGTATTAGCACCAACAATAGAAGCAGTTTTAACAGCAGCAATAGAAGCAGTATTAGCACCAACAATAGAAGCAGTTTTAACAGCAGCAATAGAAGCAGTATTAGCACCAACAATAGAAGCAGTATTAGCACCAACAATAGAAGCAGTATTAGCACCAACAATAGAAGCAGTATTAGCAACAACAATAGAAGCAGTATTAGCATCAACAATAGAAGCAGTATTAGCACCAACAATAGAAGCAGTATTAGCACCAACAATAGAAGCAGCATTAGCACCAACAATAGAAGCAGTTGTTGTTGTTGTTATCGATCCAGCGGCGCATGAGCTTTCGCCCTTTGGCCCAATGCCATGTAGTGGAATTTGCATGTTTTCACAAGCTGTTCTTTTCCTCCGTACAAGGTGTTCCACTTGTCTGGTCTCGGAGGGAGTAGCGTTCTTCTTGTCTCACTGAGTTTTGGGCACTCAAAGAGATGGTGTTCAACAGTTTCGTAGGGGTAGTTACATAGCTGGCACTCTGGGGAGTGTTGTGGCTGTATTCTGTTTAGGTGTCCATTGAGTGGAGTATGTTGCGTTCTAAGTCTGAAGATGGTGGCCTGGTCCCTTCTTGTTAGATGGTTAATGCTGTCATTAGGATCAGGGCCAGACATATGTCTATAAACCTCTCTTCCAGTGTCTCCCATGGCCCATCTGTTCAACCAAGTCTCTTTGTTTATAGCTCTTATCAGTGTTTTTGCTGTCTGGAGGGTTGTCGCTGTAGGTGGTTGTTCTTGTGTTGCTCCTTTCTTTGCCAATCTGTCAGCTCTGTCATTACCTGGTGTGCCGGAGTGACCTGGAATCCACTGCATCACTATTCTGATGTTGTATGAGGTAATAAGATGATCGGCATCCAGGATTATCTTGGCTATGTCAGTTCTGCAGCGTTCATTGCCCTCCAGAGCTTGAAGGGCAGACATTGAATCTGTGAAGATGACAATATTTTGGACCTTTGAGGGGTAAACATCCATTACAGTTTTTAGGTGGTATACTGCTGTTTCCAGTGCAATTATTTCAGCTTCATAGTTTGAACAGAATTCCCCGCATGCATCAAAAATCTCTTCAACAGATCCATCGGGATAACCTATGTAGATTCCGTAACCTGCTTTAATGGTAGCTTTAAATGCTGATCCATCAGTATAGACATGTATCCATTCTTGGGGGTAAGAATCAACGGTCTTTAGTGATGAGTTCATAAGAGCGATTGGGTCGGACTGTTTGGTTTCCTCGCCTACCAATTTAGTTTGGACTTCTGGAGCTTTAAAGCGAGCATGTGGTGGTAGGTTTTTTGCAACATTCTGAATTCCTTGACGTCTTTCTGGGAGGTGGTATCTGTCCTGAATTTCATTTACACAGTGTAAAACCGATTTGTGCTTTATTCTTTGTTTGGATTCCCAGTTTTCTACAAGATGTCTATTAGGATGGTTACGATTTTTCCTAACGCATCTTTCATAAATTTCTAAAGTGGCTTTTTCTCTCCGCAACCCGAGGGGTTCCACATTTGTATGGATTTCACATGCAGCAGTTGGTGTAGACTGCATAGCTCCGCAGATTAATCGGAGGGCATTATTTTGTACTCTGTCAAGAGTCTCTAGGTTAGTTTTGGAACAAGTTGTAAGCAGTGAGTTGTTGTACTCTATCACAGAGCGAACATATCCTAGGTATAAGCCCCTCAGAGTTTCCTTGTCTGATCCCCATGATGTACCTGCAAGTCTCTTTAATAACTGTAACCGCCTCAATGCCTTATTCCTGATGTTTTCAATATGGTTCTTGAGGCTGAGCTGCGGGTCAAGTGTGACTCCAAGGTATGTGGGATGCTCTTCTTTCATCACTTGGTGTTTGTCTAACCTCAGGTTAATATTCTTCCTTGCTACTTGGTGGCTTTTGGTAAAGATTGTGTAGACCGTCTTTGCACAGTTAATCTTGAGTTTCCATCTTTGGCAGTAATCATGCAGTCTTCTAAGGTCTCCATTCAGTCTTTGGGCTCCACTTTCCACATTTTCATGACTCTGCCATATTGCTAGGTCATCAGCGTACAAGGCTTTTTCGGCCTTGATTTGTTCTGGCAGGTCATTGATAAAGATTAGGAATAGTGTACAGCTCAATGATGAGCCTTGTGGCAAGCCCTCCTCCAAGACTTCTTTAGAAGAGATTGCGTTGTGCATCTTAGTCTGGATTGTTCTATCTATCAGGAAGTATTTCACCCAGTTATACAATCTGCCATGTATTCCTATGCTCGTCATCTTCATCAGGAGACCTTTTCTCCATACTCTGTCATAGGCCTGCTGGAGGTCGACAAAGACTGCCACTGTGTGTTTCTTATTCTGGAAGCCATCATGTATTCTTTGTGTCAGTCTGAACAGCTGGTCTTCTGTGCAGCTGTTGGTTCTGAAGCCTGCCTGTTCATGGCATAGAACACCAGAACTCTCAAGGAACCAATATAAGCGCCTGTTTATCATTCTTTCTGCAACTTTGCCCAAGCATGATGTTAAGGATATCGGGCGGTAGCTTTTGGGGTCATCTGGAGGCTTTTGGTTTTAAGGATGGGGACGATATATGCATTCCTCCATGCCCTTGGAAGTTTGCTTGACCTCCAAGTTTTATTAATAAGCCTGAGAACTACTTCTCTCCCAGACCGGCCAAGATGTAGCAGCATTTCGTTGTGGATCTTATCTGGGCCTGGAGATTTTCTAGGTTTTAATTTCTTCAGGGCTTGCTCTAATTCATCCATGCTAAATTCATTTTCAAAAAGGGAGTCGCTGGCTGTTGGAGCTCTCTCTGGTTTCTTCAACTGAGAGAGCTGTGTTCTATCGAGTTCTGACAGCTTACCTGCTCTGTTAACCGAGGCAAAATAATGATTGAAATGTTCTGCTTTCTTCTTGTCTTCAGTGATTGTCTTACTCCCATCTGTCACTGGTTTTGGGTTCACCCTTCTACTTTCTCCGGAGAGGTTTTTAACTAAAGTCCATGCTTTATTTCCATTCTGTCTAAGGTCTAAGTTGGAGCAAGTTTCTGTCCATTTATCACTTTTAGCCTTATTAACTACAAGCTTTACTCTGGCACATGCTTTATTGTATTGGATCTTTGCTTCTGTTGAACGTGCAGTTTCGAAAAAATATTCTTGCTTTATTCCTTTCAGATATAGTATTTTGAATTTCTTGATTCCAAAAAGGTTTATATGCCTTCCGGCTGCCCCTTGGGATGGCTTTCGACGCTGCATTCAGGATTGCTTGTGTTATGTCTTCACAAAAAGTTAAGTTTCCACACAGCTGTTGTCAATTCTTCCCAGGAGGCAGTCAGATGTTTCCTGAAATAGTTTCCAGTTTGCTTTTCGGAAATTCCAACGGGTTCTCTGCTTGAAGCGTAATTTAGGGGTGGTGCTTACAGTTGTGAGTATAGGTTTGTGGTCACTTCCTATGTCGTCCAGGACTTGGGGATAGCTTGCGTCTGCTAAGTCGGATGAGCAGATGGTCAGGTCTGGTCTGCTGAGAGATAGGTGGGCCCTGTGTAACAGTGTAGGTGTAGACTCTGTGTCCTGCAGCACTAATAGGTTAGTTGTTTCACAAGTATCTTCGATGTACTTCCCTGTGCTATTGTAGTCAGGGTAACCCCAACGTGGCGAGTGTCCGTTGAAGTCACCAACAAGAAGGGTTTTATGGTACTGTGTCTTGTATAGTTCTGGTATGTTGCATGTTGTCTGAGGTGGGCTGTACACGTTGTATATCGTGTATTTGCTTCCATTGTGCCAGATAGTTATTTTTTGCACATCTGTAGGGTGAGATGTCGACAGCATTAGCACCAACAATAGAAGCAGTATTAGCACCAACAATAGAAGCAGTATTAGCACCAACAATAGAAGCAGTATTAGCAACAACAATAGAAGCAGTATTAGCATCAACAATAGAAGCAGTATTAGCACCAACAATAGAAGTAGTATTAGCACCAACAATAGAAGCAGCATTAGCACCAACAATAGAAGCAGTAGGAGCACCAACAATAGAAGCAGCATTAGCACCAACAATAGAAGCAGTTTTAACAGCAGCAATAGAAGCAGTATTAGCACCAACAATAGAAGCAGTAGGAGCACCAACAATCGAAGCAGTATTAGCACCAACAATAGAAGCAGTATTAGCACCAACAATAGAAGCAGTAGGAGCACCAACAATAGAAGTAGTATTAGCACCAACAATATAAGCAGTATTATATTTATTATATGTAAATAGTTAATTTAACTGTAATGGCTGTAACTCGTAACACCGTAACACTACCGAATTCTCCAGTGAATACGAAAAACTCAATCCCTTTTAAAGATCATTAAATTTAACAGTAACATTAATATTAATTTCATACAAAGAACTCAAATGTGAGTTCCACCACGCTAAATTATTGCTCCGATGTCTTTAATGAAGAACATACACAAGACACCATCACGTATACGAGTCAAAGATCAATACCTGTACAATATTTTCTTTTGTGTTGGAGCTAACGGTTTTGTACGTTTCAATAGGTCTTTGTCTTTCTGATTTTACAATGATGATGAAAATGGGGATGATTGTAGTAGAGCCGATAATCATGCTTTAACTTAAAAATACTAGTAGTAGTGGTTGTATTACGCGGTAGAGGACGGTAAACACACTGCGGTGTGGCCAACGCAGCTATGGGGACCGAGTATCCGCCGGGATAAGTGGACACCTCTGGTGTTAGCAGGAGCATCACAGAGCAGGGCACTCACTTGCCCTAGCAATCGAAAAGGTTGCTGAAGGCTGAGGACGTAGTCTAAAGCTATGTGGATGTGGAAAGCAACGGAAAACTACCACATTACTATCCCAAGAAACTCATAAAAGAAGCCAAGAAAAGGAGAAATACTGACATCTTGCAAGATCTGAACATCAAGGAAGATTGGCCAATAAACAGCATCCTGTCTCGGAAGCTGAACTATTTTGGTCATATCAAGCGCCACGACGGATTGGGAAAAAAAAATACAGCAGAAGGCATGGTACCAGGAAGTAGGGGCAGGGGCCGACCGACACAGAGATGGGCTCGGGATATAAGTGACTCCTTGAGTATGAAAGTACATGAGGCGGGAGAGCTGTCGAGAGACCGAGTTTATTTCAGGCAGACTGTGATGAGAGCGACGTTCTGCAAAGGACTTGCTACGTGGTGATGATGATGATGATGATGAGTGGTGGTAATAATATTATTGGTAGTGCCATGATAGATAGTGGTAGTGGTGGTAGTAATTTTATTGGTAGTGCCATGATAGATAGTGGTAGTGGTGGTAGTAATTTTAATGGTAGTGCCATGATAGATAGTGGTAGTGGTGGTAGTAATATTAGTGGTAGTGCCATGATAGAGAGTGGTAGTAATATTTTTGGAAGTTCCATGATAGATATTAGTAGTGGTAGTTGTAATATTAGTGGTAGTGCCATGAAAGATAGTATTAGTGGTAGATGTAATATTAGTGTTAGTGCCATGATAGATAATGTTAGTGATAGTTGTAATATTAGTGGTAGTGCCATGATATATAGAAGTAGAGTAGTTGTAATATTGATGGTAGTGCCATGATATATAGAAGTAGAGTAGTTGTAATATTAGTGGTAGTGCCATGATAGAGAGTAGTAGAGTAGTTGTAATATTAGTGGTAGTGCCATGATAGAAAGAAGTAGTGGTGGTTGTAATATTAGTGGTAGTGCCATGATAGAAAGTAGTAGTGGTAGTTGTAATTTTATGGTAGTGCCATGAGAGATAGTAGTAGTGGTAATTGTAATATTAGTGGTAGTGCTATGAGAGATAGTAGTAGTGGTAGTTGTAATATTAGTTGTAGTGTCATGATAATTAGTAGTAGTGAAAGTTGTAATATTAATGGTAGTGCCATGATAGATAATAGTAGTAGTTGTTGTAATATTAGTGGTAGTGCAATGATAGAAAGTAGTAGTGGTGGTTGTAATATTAGTGGTAGTGCTATGATAGAAAGTAGTAGTGGTAGTTTTAATTTTGTGGTAATGCCATGAGAGATAGTAGTAGTGGTAATTGTAATATTAGTGGTGGTGCCTTGATAGATAGTAGCAGTGGTAGTTGTAATATTAGTGGTGGTGCCATGATAGATAGTAGTAGAGTAGTTGTAATATTAGTGGTAGTGCCATTTTTGATAGTAGTAGTGGTAGTTGTAATATTAGTGGTAGTGCCATGATAGATAGTAGTTGTGGTGGTTGTAATATTAGTGGTTTTGCCATGATAGATAGTAGTAGTGGTAGTTTTAATATTAGTGGTAGTGCTATGATAGATAGTAGTAGTGGTAGTGCCATGATAGATAGTAGTAGTGGTAGTTGTAATGTTAGTGGTAGTGCCATGATAGATAGTCGTAGTGGTGGTAGTAATATTAGTGGTAGTGCCATGATAGATAGTGGTAGTGGTCGTAGTAATATTAGTGGTAGTGCCACGATAGTTGTAGTGGTGGTAGTAATTTTAGTGGTAGTGCCATGATATATAGTGATAGTGGTGGTAGTAAAAGTAGTGGTGGTGGTTGTGGCACGAGTAGTGGTAGTGATAGTGGTGGTAGTAGAATTAGCAGTGGTGGTAGTAGTAGTAGTAACAGCAGTGGTCGTGGTAGTAAATGTATTTGTGGTTGTGGTGGTATTAGTAGACTTGGTGATGGTAATAATAGTAGATGTGGTAGTAATAGCTGTGGTATAAATAGTAGTAGTGGTGGTACTAATAGTTATAGTAGTTGTGGTAGTAATAGTAGTAGTTGTGGTGGTAGTAATAGTAGTGGTAGCAGTGGTAGTAATAGTAGTAGTGGTGGTAGTAATAGTAGTAGTTGTTGTGGTAGTAATAGTTGTAGTGTAGTAAAATTAGTGGCGGTGTCAAAATTATAGTGGCAGCAGTGATATTGTTGATGGTAATAATATTAGTGATGGTGGTAGTAAAAATGGTGGTGATGGTGGCATTAGTAGTGTTAGTGGTAGTAGCAGCAACAGTAGTGGCTGTGGTAGTAATGGTCGTGGTGGAGTTAGTAATATTGGTGGTGTTAATAATGGTAGTGGTGGTGGTTGTAATGGTGGTGGTGGTGGTGGTATTAGTACTAATGGTAGTGATAGTAATGGTAGTGGTGGTAGTAATAATGGTAGTAATGGTGGTAGTAATGGTAGTGGTGGTGGTAGTAATGGTAGTGGTGGTGGTAGTAATGGTAGTTGTGGTGGTAGTAATGATAGTGGTGGTGGTAGTAATTGTAGTGGTGGAGGTAGTAGTGGTAGGGGTAGTAATTGTAGTAGTGGAGGTAGTAGTAATGGTAGTGGTGGAGGTAGTAGTAATAGTCGTGGTGGTGGTAGTAGTGGTGGTGATGGAGGTAGTAGTAATAGTAGTGGTGGTGCTAGTAATTGTAGTGGTGAAGGTAGTAGTGGTAGGGGTAGTAATGATAGTGGTGGAGGTAGAAGTAATGGTAGTGGTCGAGGTAGTAGTAATGGTAGTGGTGGAGGTAGTAGTAATGGTAGTGGTGGAGGAAGAAGTAATGGTAGTGGTGGATGTAGAAGTAATGGTAGTGGTGGAGGTAGTAGTAATAGTAGTGGTGGTGGTAGTAATTGTAGTGGTGGAGGTAGTAGTGGTAGGGGTAGTAATGGTAGTGGTGGAGGTAGAAGTAATGGTAGTGGTGGAGGTAGTAGTAATGGTAGTGGTGGAGGTAGTAGTAATGGTAGTGGTGGAGGTAGAAGTGGTAGTGATAGTAATGGTAGTAGTGGAGGTAGTAGTAATAGTAGTGGTGGTGGTAGTAGTGGTGGTGATGGAGGTAGTAGTAATAGTAGTGGTGGGGGTAGTAGTGGTGGTGGTGGTTGTAATGGTAGTGGTGAAGTTAGTAGTGGTGGTGGCAATAATGGTAGGTGTGGTGGTAGTAATAGTAGTGGTTTAGGTAGTGGTGGTGGTGGTGGTAGTAATGGTAGTGGTGGAGGTAGTTGTGGCGGTGGTAGTAAAGGTAGTAGTAGAGGTAGTGGTGGTGGTAATAATGGTAGTGGTGGAGGTATTGGTGGTGGTTGTAGAAATGTTGGTGTTGGTAGTAATGTTTGTGGTGGAGGTAGTGGTTGATGCGCTAGTGGTGGTGGTAGTGTTAATAATGGTAGTGTTGGAGAGAGTGGTGGTAGAGTTAGTGGTGGTGGTGGTAATAGTAGTGGTAGAGGTAGTAGTGGTGGCGGTGTTGATGGTAGTAAGTGGTTGAGGTAGTAGTGGTGGAGCTAGTGGTAGTGGTAGTAGTGGTAGTGTTAGTAATGATAGTGGTGGAGATAGTAGTGGTGGTGGTAGTAATGGTGGTAGTAATGGTGGCGGTAGAGGTATTAGTGGTGGTGGTAGTAATGGTAGTGATGGAGGTAGTGGTGATAGTAATGGTAGTTGTGGTTGTAGTAATGGTAGTGGTGGAAGTAGTGGTATGAATGATAGTGTTAGTAGAGATGGAAGTAGTGGTAGTGGTGATAGTATTGGTAGTGATGAAGGTAGTGGTGGTAGTAATGGTAGTGGTGTCTGTAGTAATGGTTGTGGTGGTTGTAGTAATGGTAGTGGTTGTTGTAGTAATGGTAGTGGTGGAGGTAGTGATGGTAGTAATGGTAGTGGTGGTTTTAGTAATGGTTGTGGTGGCGGTAGTTATTGTAGTAATTGAAGTGGTGGTTTTATTAATGGTAGTGGTGGAGGTAGTGATGGTAGTAATGGTAGTGGTGGTTGTAGTAATGGTAGTGGTGGAGGTAGTGATGGTAGTAATGGTAGTGGTGGTTTTAGTAATGGTAGTGGTGGAGGTAGTGATGGTAGTAATGGTAG